TTGACAGTTTTAAAATATCAAAGGTCAGTTGGAGATATCCAATTACTATCACTATATCCTTTAATGACTATTGGATATATGATATAGTGCAGTCCATAACTACGAGAATATATTAAGTACCTTAGTATTCTTACTATTCTTTTCTAGTGGTTAGCTCCTGGATTACTCATATATCTACTTGATTTACTGACTGTGTAGGCTATTTCTGATCTTGTACAACTCATTAAGTACATCAGACTTTCAATAATTTTAGAGTATTCTACTTGAGAGATACTCTCATCTTTATTTTTAGATAGATGATGACTTGTATCTATTGGTGTTCTAACCACATCCGAATCATCCTTGTTAGATTTTTTTAGAATTTTGTTTAAATAATGTGATTAACTTAGAACGAGTCCTTCTACTGTTCTTGAGATTTTAACTCCAAGTATCACATTACGTCAAATCTTGAATTCAATGTATCCTTAGTAAATTTAATCATCTTATCATTACTACCAACAATAAGCATGTCGTCTACGTAAAAATATAAAATGACATAACCATTTTCGATATGTTTGAAGTAAACGCATTTGTCGAACTCGTTGATCTTAAATCCACATTCCATTATGACATTATCAAAGTTTTCATACTGCTGTTTGGGTGCTTGTTTCAAAACGTGCAATGATTTCACCAATTTACATACCTTCTTCTCCTGCCCTGGTGATGAAAAACTCTCGAATTGTTTCATGTAAATTTCTTCATCTAAATCTCCATTCGAAAATGTAGTTTCAACATCCATTTGATGTACTTCAGATTTCGCAAAGCGGCAATTGAAAGTATCATCCTAATCGATCTTATTCTTGTCACTGAGAATATGCATCAAAATAATCAAATCATTCCCGTTGTCTATACCCTTTTATCACTAGTCTAGCCTTATACTTTTCGATAGTTCTATCTGCTTCATTTTTCTATTGGAAATCCATCGGTAGCCTTGTGGTTTATTTCTTGAAGCAGATCCACTAACTTCTATGTATGATTTTACAAAATGTAATATATTTCACTTTTAATGGTCTCTTTTTCATTAACATCTTTCTAAAGAGTTTACAACTTCTTGATAATTTTGAGGTTCACTTTCCAAGTATATAGGTCAGAAAATCATGACATTAAGATTTTTCTGTTCTTTATCTTTTACTACGTCATGGTTTAACATCAACATCTTCTTCTAATTCATGGTCTGTTTAGAAGAGATTGTTTCCTATTTGTATCCATCTGGAAATACATATTCAAAGAATGAAGTATTTCTTGATTCTTTTATCGTATTTTTGTATATGTTTGGGATTTTAGACTCATACACGAGAAACTGATAAGCACTATTGTTATGTGCATAGCCAATGAAAATTTAATCTACAATTTTTGAGTCTATCTTTAAGTTCTTTGGTTTGGGACAATCATTTTAAATAGACACCCTCATACTCGTAAGTATTCATAAGAAGATATTCTTCCTCTCTATAACTCATAAGGGGTCTTTTTCGTTTTCTTTTGGGGCACCTTATTTAAAAAATAATTTGTCGATAACACGGCTTTCCCCCACAAGTTCTAAGATAATCCAGAACTTACTAACATTGCATTCATAATTTCTTTTGAAGTATGATTTTTTTCGTTCAACAACATCATTTTGTTGGGGCAAATAAGATGTACTTGTTTCATGTATGATTTCATGTTATGCACAAAATTCAGGAAATGGTGTTTCATAGTTACCACCTCAATCACTTCTCAACATCTTAATTTTCTTATTTAGGTGATTTTTCAACTTCATTCTTATAGAAAACAATTTTTTCTATGGCTTTGTCTTTACTTTTGAGCAAATACAGATAACAAATTTTTCTATGGCCTGTTTAAGTAGGCTGTAATGGAGAATTAATTTGTCCATAAACATTCCATTAACTCGAAATTATAATGGCAATAAAATTAGAGTTTTAACAGTTTTAGAATATCTAAGGTCACATGGAGAAAGCAAAACGTGGACATTCCTAAGGGGCGCCAAGTTTTGCTTCATTCGGTTCGACATTCCTGTATGCAAGTTGCGCTAGCACACAAGTTAAATGTCCGATGTACAATTTCGATTCTTGATTTGCATCCTTGGGGCGCACTTGGAGAGAGCCTATATGTCACACACGATTATACCCTTTTGAAGTGTAACCATATCTAAGATGGTCATTGCTTTTATAATCTTCTTATGTAGGGCAAGCTACATATAATGTTCCCTCCAAGCACGTTTCATGCATATGAAACTACCTTTGTAAACTCCATTTAAGTCATCAACTTTGAGGCTTGATCTTCAATTTCTCATTCACCCGATTATCATTTTTGGCAAGTAAATATATGATTTTGATGTTCTCATGGAGACGAATACGAATCAACTTCGATCTTCCAAAATGAACGAACGAGTCTCACTCAAATTATGCCAAAACAGCCCCATTAAACCATTTTTCCAACCCCTTGTTCCTTTCCCATGCATGGTAGAATGACAATTATGCTACTGGCTGAAGGCACTGATTTCATTCCTCAATTTGAGAGCTCGTGCATGAGGGAAGTATTTTAATAGAAATTTCTTTGATACATCATAAAAGTCACATCAAAAGGAGCTAAATCCGTAGTAGTCGCATCTGTCATGCAATAGACAAGAAGATAGTGAAAAAGAAAAAAACAAAAATAAAACAACATCAAATTGATTATTGAGGCTAGAATTGGTTGATATTGATATTAATAGAAACACGGTGTCCGAAATTGATTCTAAAAAGTTGTTCGTTGTTTTTGCAAGTATATGAAATATTATAAGTAATACAATGATAAGTCAAGTGTCGTTCCCAACATAGTTATAAAACTCGGCCCAAAAAATCGGCGGCCCAGACCCTTGACCAGGCCGGGCAGATTAATTTAATCAAAATTCACTTGACTTAGTCAAAATCGGGCTTTGACCGAGTTAACCGGCGATTTACCCGGTCCAGTTGACCAGTTTGATTGAGTTTTAAAATTCTCTTACAAAAGTTTAGGATCCAAAGGAATTGAACTTTGGACATCTAAGGAAAATAATGGGTTCCACACCACTTGAGATAGATTGTTTTAGTATTACTTATGTGCAAATAACTTATATCTATTTAATGAATAATTTATATTTTTTATATATAAAAAAATTTAAAAATTTTCATTCAACCTTTTACTTTATTTTATAGACTTAAATAATTAGTGGAAAATAACTTAAAAATTTTAATTTCGCCTCTAAAATAAAATTTATAGTTTATATTTCTTTGTAGGTTTTTATACAATGACCCACTGGGTCATTGGTTGACCCCCTACATTGTCTGAGTTTATGTTCGAGTCGAGTCTGACAACTATGATTCCCAAGAGGACCTTAAACTAATGACTAGAATTATACTAACTTAACTAATCTACACCATATGTTGACAATCTTGGTTTTTAACTTTAATATGATGAATAAAAGTGTTAGGACTCATGACTTCGTCCAAGTTATCCCCTTTAATCTCGAATGTGAAGTTCAATTTCTACTATTGTATTTGGTCGAATTTATTAATTTAATTAATTTATATCTTTCAGATTTAAATCAATTATATTTAGTTAACTCAATATATTCCATGTGAATCTGAATAAGTCTATTAAACGTATTAAATTACCTAGGAATTTAATTAAGGACCACAACAATAGTGAAAGTGTATCTCTTTCTTCTACTAAATTGTCGAATTTTTTACTGAATGATCCAAATGAATAACTCACTCATCAGTTTGTTACTACTCACAATTCATGAATTAGTGATCAAGTAATCTAAGTATTAAGGAAAAAAAGGTAAAATCAATACATAAATCTATTAACTAATCTTGGGAATTGAAATTAAAGGTTCAAAACTAGGTTAAATTGTTTGTACTAATTAGAAAATTAACTAATCATCATAATTAAAGAAAACCCCATAAAAGAGTACGAATACATAACTGAGTTTTGAAGAATAATAAGGGGGAAAAAAAATCAATATCTTGAATCTAGAAATCTTTTTTATTCCAATAAAATAATTTTTGAGGGTTAGCTTAAATATTTTTCTCGAATATAATGAAGGAAATTTTAATTCAAACACACCTTCTCTCGGTGATCTTTTATAAGAACGAACCATTTTTGGTCATTCGTACCTCTATTTATCTGCTTGGAATTTTCGTATTGGTTTTGAAAGTGTGTTAAATTCAAAAACTGTATGTCAAACTTAATGTACTTGTAGCATGATTGTTCTTCATTTTAGTCACTGGATAAAAATCTTGGTGTGTGTACGGAGCCTCCCATTTTCGCTGCATCAGCCGGCGGCTTAAAACACGCCAAGTTTGCTTTCAGCTCTTTGCATTTCAGCAGCTATGGACTGTGTTCTGAGCTGATTAGAATTTTGTTTGTTAGCAGATGATAGCGAACGGGAATTCCAGTGTATAGGCAGAAGCATGTCCGCTGCTAGGCAACTCGTTGTTAGAAGAATGGGATAGTTTCTTTTATCCGTTCCTATACTTTAGTACTGTAGGCTGACATTAACTAAAATAGATAATCTGGACACTAAAGAATCCTCTATCACACGACGAGAGGCCATAGATAATCCGAACAAGGAAAAAGAAAAAAGTCGCAACATAAAGCATATGATTTCACATCATCAAGTCCTCTTGGCAAGTAAAACACACCAATGGTGAAGTGCATAAAGCATTTCAAATATGTACAAAAAGCAGGCAAATAAGTGAAACGCTGCAATTCAGAACTCAGAAGTACATATATTATGGCTTGCTAGAGCTTCTTCCACTTTCCTCTGGATTTGCTTCCTCTACCAATGATTATAAGTTGCCCATCAAACTTAGGCAGAAGAAATATTGTAAACCTACAAAGGATTATCAGTTCAAACACAAATACACATTCTTGATACCCCCTTATTTTACAACAGAACTGATGAAAGAGAACGAACATGCAAATTCCAACCACCAAGATCACATCGATGCCGTGGAACTCAGTTGCCACGACACCGCAATCGGGCTCCTGACGCGGTGGACACCATCAGTCCACTCAATTGATCCAAACGCCGCCTTTGGACTGCTGCCAATTTCCTCCACTCCAACACCACTCTTAAATATAACCTCGTAAGCTAGCTTATCGTTCTCCTCACTGAACACCAACTTACTCGGTGAAACACTCACCTCCACATTCGGTGGAGCATTTACTTTCACCTCGTACACGACATTCGCTTGTTTCCCAACATTCTTAACCACTCTCTTGTACTTAACCACACCGTTTTCACCATTGAGAACAACTGAAAATGAAGGATAATTCAGGTTTCCAGGAGTTCCCAAACTATTTGCATCACAATCCACTGAAGCAGTAGTGAAAACAGAAATCCTTCTTGAATCATACCCAATGGAGCATAAGAATCCGAGATAATCACTCAAACCTAAGTCGTAAACTAACCCGGGATCCAATGCTCGGTTAGGATCGACGTGACCCGATCCGTAAACAAATGGATTCGACTCTTTTCCGGTTGCAAGGTCGGTAATATTGCTACCAGAGTTATCCAAGTTGTAAGCCGTCGTCATTAAAGCTGATTTGATTGCAGCTGGCGACCATTTGGGATATGCCTTCCGCAGCAAGGCGGCTAAACCACTGACATGAGGACACGACATTGAAGTGCCCGAAATGATATTGAAATCAACCTTCCTTTTGTCTGTCTCTAAATCCGTCGGGCCAATTAACCCCGTCCATCCAGCAAGAATGTTAACTCCGGGTGCAATTACGTCAGGTTTGAGAATCTCTTTCGTCCGGTAATTCGGACCACGGCTCGAGAATGATGCAACACGAGGTGCTGGTGGTGAGCGACTGATAACGGTCCCCCTGAACTTAATAGTGGCAGTTGGCGATGGATCAGAGCGCGCATAAGCTCGGATTTTGTCACCAGCAATTTGTCCCACCATAGTTGCCGGGACAAAATGTGCATCAGCCAGAAGTTCTTCACCAGAATCAGCTAAATTTGCCATTATCATTCCGGCCCCACCGGCGACATGAACAGCGTTTCCTTTCTCAACTCTTGCGTTACCTCCGCGATCGCAGATCACAATTTTCCCTGCGACTTTCACAGAATCGAGGCTACCTGAATAGCAATATCTACTTCCACAGTCCGCAGCATAAACCAATGGCAGCAACTCATCTCCTAGGTCCTTCCCGGACCCGGAGTACAACGAAACACCACCATAAATCCTCCCATCGCCAAGAACCACGTCAGCCGGAAACTCCCGGTCTAGAGTGGAAGCACCGACCGTCAAAATCCAAGGAGCAACATTCACCGCAGTATAAGGATCAGGGCCGGAATTACCTGAAGAGCACGACACAACAATACCATGTTCGGCTGCACCGAAAGCTCCTATGGCAATCGAATCATGATCGTACAGTGGAGGATGCCCATTAGCACCAACTGAAAGCGAAATCACATGAACACCATCTTCAATAGCTTGATCCATTGCTGCTAATATATCCGAATTGTAACAACCGAATGTCCAGCAAATTTTATACACAGCTATTCTAGCCTTTATAGCCATTCCTCTAGCTTCCCCTTTTGCATATCCGAAAAGGCTAGCGTTCGCCACTCTCGATCCAGCTGCTGTTGATGCAGTGTGAGTTCCATGGCCTTCTGTATCCCTTGGAGACTTCGACTCATTAGATTCCTCCATTGTTGTACCTCTTGAAGCTTCATAGCCTAAATAAAAAGCTCGGGCGCCGATAATTTTCTTGTTACAAGCCGTTGCTGGGAAATCCGGAGTTACCACACAAGTCCCTTTCCAATTGGCCGGAACAGGAGAGAGCCCTTCATCGGAAAAACTCGGACGTTCCGGCCAAATCCCAGTATCGAGCATACCAACAATCACATCTTCAGCATAATCAGAATTCGGCCAGAGCCCAAAAGAATCCGCCAGTCCAAGAAAGCGTGGAGATTGAGTAGTATGTACATACTGGCGCTTGTCAGGTATTACAGATAGAACCCCACGCACACTGGCGATCTTGGCGGCTTGGTCAGCAGTGAGCCGAGCCGAGAATCCCTGCACGGCGCGGCTGTAGGTGTAAAGAATCTTTGAAGGGTGTCGTGGGGTGTGAACAGATCGGACTATGGAGGAGTACCAGTGATGGTGGTTGGAGAAAATATGAGGCTTGGCAGATTTCGCCACGTGGATGATGAATGTTTCTTGGCCGTCCGATGAGAGTACTGAGGGGAGGAGAATTAGAGAGAGAAAGATGAGAGTAGGAAAGGCCATTATTGGAACTTCCTGAGAGAGTAGGATCCAGATCAGTGAATATTCTTGTACGTAAATATAGATAATGAAATGAGCTCAGAAATTGGAGTTGGCGGGTCTATATTGGGCAACGTTTCTTATTTGTATTGGATGGTGGGATGTGGAAATGGCACTAGAGGTCACTCAACTTTAATTTATTTCAACTTTGCCACAAATTTGTATTTTTGTTCAATTTGATCACCTTGTTTGGTCTACACAATATTTATCACGATCTTGTGAACCGAAAGTTAATACTTACTCCAAGTCTTACAATTCTTTGAAGATAGTAGCAGCTAATAGTTGAGTCAACTTAGCTAAACGAAACAAGTATCAGTTTCGTTACAAATAAAAGGGGAGAGCAAATCTGAGAAAAAAGAAAAAAAAAAAGGAATTATTTTAGTAGGAGGAGGTCATTTAGATATGGTAATTGATCTAACCAAGCTGTCTTGAACTTTTCTAGGCTCCTGAGTGTTATATTAACTACCAACAATTTGTAAAATTCAGGCCTCTTGACCTCACATTGGGTTGGCTTGCAGATATACTCGTGAGCTTGCTCGCAAGCTAATTCTACGAAACTTGAGTTGAGATCGGGCTTAGTTGAAAGCTAGCTTGAGAATTCTAAGTCGTACAGCGAGTTTATTGGTGGTTATACGAGGTCAATATATCTTATTTCCCATGTCAAGTCACATATATTGTTGCCATAGTTACAAGTTATGTTAGCTTTTGCTAATTTTTATAGAATGAATGCTAAAATTGCAACAAAAATATAGGTTGGTGATCGAGTTGAAGCAAATGGAAGTTATGTGCAAACGTAGAATTTGAGAAGTTGACTGACCCATAAATGTTTTCCTATTGGGCGACGTTTAACATTTTTATTGGTTCGTAGACTTTTGGTGATTTTTTTTGTGATGGTTTTTCAAAAGTTTTTTACTTTATCCCCGACAAAGGCACAAAAATGTCAATATTTGGATTTATTTTATTTCATCTTTTCCTGTCACGTTCAATAATTTTGAGCGGTTCGTTTTGTGAAGACGACTTGCATGTATAAATTGCAACAATATCTAGGCAAGGTTGTATCAAGACGGTATTCAGCAAGTTGTTCAATGGGTAATAAATATTGGAACTATTAAAAATAAATACATAGTTCGAGGGTGATTGGTGGAGATTAAAATTAGATTTTTAGTAAATTATGATATAAGTTTCTAAAATGTATGGTTGAAAAGTTGTGGGATCCATAAAAGATGTGGTTGATATTGATTGTTTGACTTTGATTTGAATTAAAATCAGATTTTAATCCTGACCAAACATGAGCGAATATCATTTTCTTTTAAACGCAGAGATTTAGTCCATATTTGGCATCATTTTAAAATTAACTTTTTTCACTTATTTTTGATCCCTAGTATCAAGAAATTAAATTTTTTTTTTTTTTTTTTTTATCAATTTTGCAACCACACATTTCACCAATTTTTATGAAAATTTACTAAAAATCTGATTTTAAATTCAATCAAACATGGTTGAAGGCCCATTTGACAAGGCTTCAACTTCTTAAAGAAGATCTTAAAAGTTATGTGAAACGAACTGCTATAGTATTTATTATGTTAGAATTATGTTAAGTGCACATTTCATAGGTTACATCTGAGTGTGCATTATGTAGGAATTCAAAAAGTGTTAGATGGAAAAGTGTGTTTTTTAAAAGCATTGATCTAATCATGTATCGCCACGTAACGCAATATCAAAAATAATACAAAAGGAGATGTAATAGCATGTTTGATTATGCTATCATCTACTACAAAAGTGAACCTAACCTACTCTTTTAAAACTTTATCATGTGAAGGTAGGTAGACATTGAATTTCTACTCACTTATCTCGAAAAATCAGAATCTTCATTGTCTATTTAAGGGTCTGTTTGAGTCTTTTTTTTTTTTTTCTTTCAGAACAGTGGATTGATGAAAAATGTGGGATTAAAAAAATAAGAAAAACTTTTGGAATTCGTGTCATCTTATTTTATTAAAAAATGTACAGTTGAAATGAAAAAAAATATATTTTGAAAACAATAGAGATCAAATTAATGAAAAATAGTAGAGCAAATTTTTCTACCCAAAACCATATTGATATTAAAATCACAGGGAATTATTTCGTCTATCATCTGTTGAAGTAGAATACGAGTTAGTTTGGTTTTAAATGTTTAGATTGGTGCTCATGCCATAGATACTAATATAGACAATAATGGACGTGGAATTTCCCCAAATAGGAGTATAGAAATGTACTACTATGGATTCACAAAGTACATACAAGCAAGAAATGGATTAAAATATTGTTAGATATTTTTCATCATTTTGCATGTATTATCTTTTGTTTTGCGAATGTTTTGCCGCTTTGACTAGTGTTTGCCGCTACGCAACGGGGATCGACCTGCCCGGTCAGGTCGCAGGTTCTCTTTCGGGGGCAGCGCCCCCCGTGGGGGCTCGGGGGCAACGCCCCGAAAGAGAATTTTATTTTCAGAAGTTTTTGAATAGCTATGTTTCTTCCAACAAATGCGTCCATTCATTTCAAGGGACACACATATTCAAAAGGTTGCCTCCATTTCTATATATTCTGGGCGAATTCTCATTTGCGAGACACTTTTAAAAAATTTCTATTCTTCTATCTTTCTCTTGGCATCATCAGTTTCTCTATAGAGTGTTTCTTGGTTTGATCAAATAGTCACAATTTGAATCAAACGCCTCCATTGTATCCTGAGAGAGATTTTCTATCATACCCCGATCGTGACTTTGTTGGAAAGGGGAGAAATATCTCTTAAAAGATAACGATTTTCGTGCCTTGTAGTTATTTATTATTCCAGATTTCCTACATATTTCCCAACAAATATGGAGGTAGGTTTTACTTTGGAGGGTACTTTTCAAATCAGCCAGTCAAATATGCCAATTTTCACTTTGACCAATTTTTTAAAACATTATCACAATAGCCTTACAACATAAAAGATAAAACTATCCTTAAAATAGTTATACAATTATAAAAATATAGTATTGTTTAAAAGACAATAATACCATTTTAAATTTATAAAGAATTTCAAATACTTTCCACTTAAAATTTCAAAACCAAATTACTTTCTTTATCTGTTTACTCCAACACAGATAAAAATTATTTTATTTTTCATCTACTTCAAACTTGAAAACAGATAAATTCATCAAACGCTCAAGAAAAAAATATTATTCACAGCAATCACTTGAATCGGTAAGTATATTTACATATTTTTAATTTCGTTTTGGTTAAATTAGTACATTATGTTAATTTTTAAATCTTATTTGGACATAAGCAGATAAAAAATTTACTATCGTAAATGGATATATAATTTTTTTTAACAAAACGAGGAAAAAATTTATCTGACATCGATACGACGGTCGAGACGTACAGACCAGCTATAAATCCGGCCCAGACGTCCGGGCAGGGAGTTTTACCCTATTTTTTCCCTTAATTATAATTTTTTTTAACAAATTATGTTTCCTCATGTAGATATGGGATCGGCTACAGTCCCTGTTTGTTACTTTGGTGAATATGAAATGAATGAAAATGATCGATGGGTCTAGAAATAGACGGTGAAATATATGACACAATTGCAATTGTGATGACATCGAGTACATCAAATGCACAAATGTACCGTGAGATATAAAACAAGCTCAACATCGATATCTCTCAGTACGACATGGAATTGGAATTTCTATTCAACAACAAGCATACATCAATTCCAATTCCACATGTAAATGTTACTTCTGAAGATGAAATCAAGGTTTTAATTGAATTGAATCAAGTTCGCAAGATTACTCCTATTTGCGTAACTTAGCGAAGAATAATGTCCCCAATAGTGAAAACGAAGATATCGATGGATGAGATCGTAATATGAATGATTTTTGGCACATAGTGGAGATAGCTCTGAGGATGATGTGGTTAATCCTGATATAGTTGTTCATCACCATGATTTCACCGTTACCCATAGAATTCCCTCAATAGTTCAAGACAACGAAAATGAAAATGAATTTACCTGTTTTCATTTGATTGCTTTATCTCGTCGGAGACATGAATCGAGTTCGCAACCTGGAACAAGCACACAGACCTCTAATTGATCCCGAGTAATTCTTGATGATAAAGATTTATATGTCAAGTAACTGTTTGAAACGAAGAAAGATTTGAATGAAGCTGTGCACCAGATTGCTTTGAAACACAATTTTGAGTTTAAAGTGAAAAAATCGAACAAGTCGACGTACAAAATTATCTGCATTGACGACAATTGCCATTGGCGTTTGGGAGTGACGAATATGGACACGAATGAGTTCTTTGTAATTCGTAAGTATGCATGGAAACATACTTGCGAAGTGAGTATTCGTCGAAATGATCACAGGCAAGCCCCAGCATGGTTTATTGGTTGACAAATAATGCACAAGTTTCAGGACCCACGAATGATCTGCAGACCTTCAGACGTCATTAACGACATTCGTCGAGAGTACGAGGTGATCATGAGCTATCAGAAGGTTTGGAAGACCAAAGAATGAGCATTGGAGAACTTAATGGGTTCGGCCGAGGAAAGTTACGCTAAGTTGGCCAGATATTGCCACAACATGGGGAAAAATAATCCTCGATCGGTATTTTATATTGATACGGAGGACGATAATCGCTTCAAATATTTCTTCATGGCCATTGGACAATGCATTGGAGGATTTTGAAATGCGTTGTGACCCGTAATTCTAGTCGACAGTACAACCCTTAACGCTAGATACGAAGGCAAGTTGATTGTTGCTACGTGTCAAGATGCCAACATCCAAATTTGCCATCTTACGTTCGGCGTAGTCGATGGAGAGAATGATCTAACAATTTGTTGGTTCTTCACGAAGTTGAGGGAAGTAATTGGGGACGTTCGAGAACCTTACATTTGTAACTGACTGGGGGCAGGGCAGAAATTTTTCTCGAGGCACAACACGGTTATTGTA